CCCCAAAACCCCAAAACCCCAAAACCCCAAAACCCCAAAACCCCTTACTTGTTAAGACCATTGAAATCAACTTATTGTATCCCTATAATCACAAAAGGGTCAAAAGTTGGTATCCTTAGCTCTCGATAAATCCTAAACATAGGATAAGAGCAGCACCAAGCAAGAAGGCAAGCATTTTAATCCACTTGTATTTTGGAATGGAGAACTCTTCAACGATTACCTCTGAGCAGGCGATGTATACAAAAGTTCCAGCAGCGAGAGAGCTGAAAATTATCTCAGTGATAGCGTTACTATTAGCAATTCCCATTCCGATACCAACACCTACAGGAGTGGCAAATGAGAAGATGAACAAGAGAAGATACATGATTTTCTTATCATCTTTGAAGTTCTTATTCATACTTATCCCAAGAGACATGGCAGCAGCCCATTTATGTAAAAGGATAGCTATAATGTAAGTCCAGATATCATGACTGTCATCGACCATTCCGGTAGCAATACCTTCAAACACGGCATGTGTACTAAGAGCTATCATGAGAACGACTGGAGTCAAGCTTGAAACACACCCTTTTTCTTGTGGTTGCTCAATATCAGCTTTGGTAATAAGGTGCTCACTAGCATGAGCCTCATCGTCAAGCTTGTCATGACTTTTTCTCGAGGATTCGTTGATTTCATCTCCCTCCTTGCCGGCTGGATAAAGTGCTTGATGCATTTTTGACGAAAATTTACCGTTTCTGGAGAAAGATTCTCTGACATCCTCCTCTAAAAGGTGTTTCTTGCTCATGTCTTTGTGCTCTGTATCAATAGCATGGCCATGACCATGCTGATGATCTCCGAGGAGAGAATGTGTGTCAAAGATCACCTTATCGATGAGTAGGATGAAAGCATAACCAACAAAGGTTAGCACGAAGGGAAGAGGGAAGGGATCATCGTCATCATCATCATCTCCATGGGTCAGAGACATTTGTTCGTTCTCATTTTCTTCCATATACTCAAGGTAATCTCCAGACGCTTCTGGAAGAATGTGCATAAAGGCGATAGCGATGAAAACACCTCCACTGAAGGCATTAGCAATACCCAGGAAGTTGGTGCTTTTCTTGCACCATGGGATTATATTGGGTAATATTCCAGAAACAAAGGCTAGAACATAGATGACGACTATAAATACAATTTTTATCGCGATAAGCCCACCGTCGGCCATTATTTTAAGTATTATTATTTCCACGTTTTCTTATTTAAGAGGGGTTTTGGGGTTTTGGGGTTTTGGGGTTTTGGGGTTTTGGGG